CAACCTTCATTTTTGTTAAAAACCCTCAACAAAACAGGTATAGAAAGAATATACCTCAACATGATAAAGGGCATATATGATAAACCCACAGCTAACATCAATCATACTCAATGGTGAAAAGCTGAAAGATTTTCCTCTAAGATCAGGAACAAGATAAGATGCCCACTCTTCCCACTTTTATTCAACATAGTATTGGAAGTCCTAGACACAGTAATTAGGCAGGAAACAGAAATAAAAGTCATTGAAATTGGAAAGGAAGAAGTAAGCCTATCACTAATTGCAGATGACATGATACTATATATAGAAAACCATAAACACTCCACCAAAAGACTATTAGAATTAAATGAATTCAGTAAAGTTGCAGGATACTAAATACAGAATAGATACAGAAATAGATTGTGTTTCTACATACTAATAACAATCTATCAGAAAGAGAAATTAAGAAAACAATCCCATTTACAATTGCATCAAAAATAATAAAATATCTAGGATTAACTGAGCCTAGGAGTGAAAGACCTGTATTCTGAAAACTATAAGACACCGATGAAAGAAACTGAAGATGACACAAGTAAATGGAAAGATATACTGTGCTTATGGATTGGAAGAATTAATATTGTTAAAGTATCCATACTACACAAAGCAATCTACAGATTCACTGCAATCCCCATCAAAATACCAGTGGCATTTTTCACAGAACTAGAACAAAGCATCCTAAAATTTGCATGGAACCACAAGAGACACCAAATAGCCAAAGCAATCTTGAGAAGGAAGAACAAACCTGGAGGTATCACACCTTCTGATTTCAAACTATACTACAAAACTGTAGTAATCAAAATAGTATGGTACTGGCATGAAAATAGACACATAGATCAATAGAAGAGAATAGACAGACCAGAAATAAGTCCATGTATATATGGTTAATTAACCTAAGACAAAGGTCAAGAATATACAATAGGGAAAAAACAGTCTCTTCAATAACTAGTTCTGGGAAAACTGGACTGCTACATGCAAAAGAATGAAACTGGACCACTATCTTACACCATATACAAAAGTAAACTCAAAATGGATTGAAGGCTTGAATGTAAGACCTGAAACCATAACATTTCTAGAAGAAAACATAGTAGGCTTTTTGACATTGGTGTTAGCAATATTTTTTTGGACTAGTCTCCTCAAGCAAGGGCAACGAAAACTAAAATAAGCAAATGGGATTTTATCAAACTAAAAAGCTTCTGCACAGTAAAGGAAACAATCAACAAAATGGAAAGGCAGCCTACGGTGTTGGAGAAGATATTTGCAAATGATATATCCAATAAGGGGTTAATATCCAAAAATATATAAAGAACTTACACATCTTAATATAAAACAAAACAAAAACAGAAGCAAACAACCCAATTGAAAAATGGCCAGAGGACTTGAATAGACATTTTTCCAAAGAACATATACAGATGGCCAACAGGCACATGAAAAGATGTCAGCATCACTAATCACCAGGGAAATGCAAATCTAAACCACAATGAGGTATCACCTCACACCAGTCAGACTGGCTGTTATCAAAAGGACAAAAAATAACAAATGTTGGCAAGGATGTGGAGACAACAGAACACTTGTGCGCTGTTGGTGTGAATAGCCATTATGGAAAATAGTATGAAGTTCTCAAAAAATTAAAAATAGCACTACCATACAGTCTAGCAATTCCATTTCTGGTATTTATCTGAAGAAAATGAAAACATTAATTCAAAAAGATATATGTGCCCCTGTGTTCACTACAGCATTATTTACAATAGCCAAGTGTCCACTAATAGATGAATAAAGAAGATGTGAGATATATACATATATAATGGAATATTACTCAGCCATGAAAAAGAATGAAATTTTGCCATTTACAACAATATGGATGGACCTAAAGGTTATTATGCTAAGTGAAATAAGTCAGAGAAAGACAAATATCATATGATTTTACTTATATGTGGAATCTAAAAAAAGAAGACAAATGAACAAACAAAATATAACAGGAACAGACTCATAGATCTAGGAAATGGACTGTTGATTACCGGGGCGGGGAGGGAAATGGGATGGGAAAAATAAGTGAAGGGGATTAAGAGGTACAACCTTTCAGTTATAAAATAAGTAAGTCATGAGGATGTAATGTAAAGCATAGAGAATATAGTCAATGATATTGTAACAACTGTATGGTGACAAATAGTAACTAGACTTATGATGATCATTTCATAACATATAAAAATATCAGATCACTATGATGTACACCTGAAACTAGTAGGATATTGTATGTCGGTAATACTTCAATAATAAAAAAGATGTTCTCTCTTTTATGTTTAATCATCTCTAACTTTACTTCACAATGTAGTACTTCGGTATGGACAATAAAATGCTAGTTGACTCCAGTTGACAAGCTAGGGGCAGTTGGTGAACATTTAGAGTATTCACTTCAGAAATTCACACTCCAGGGAGGGTTAATTAACATAAATTCCCTTAGCCACAGACCACACCACAGAGGGTTACCAGAAGCCTTCTAATATCAATCTATACTTGCTGAGGTTTAGTAATCAGCATAAGTTGTATTAGAGAGAATTTTTCATTGAGAAAATGGACACTGTACAAATTATAGGGTAGAAGAAAGAACTGTATCAGCACGAGTTGGGCATGTCCCAGCCAGAGTCTGACCAGTGAAAGAAACCACCACAGGTATTTCAAGTAGGAGGGATGTAGCCCAGGCATTTAAAGTTTCACAGACCTGTTAGGTCTGGGGAAGTGAAGAGCAGAGAAGAATTCAGGAAATCAGGATGTTCAGGGGTAGAAAGAATCTACAGCTGAGGATTTGCCCTTAGTGGGTGGTGCTGTGGAGACTGCCTGGAAGCCACTCCCCCAATCTCGTCTACTGTCTACAAAAAGGCATGCCCCTGGTTGCAGCTGCCAATGGGGAAGTGGTTTACTTCTCTCTTTTACCTTCTGAATCCCACACGAGAGCTTCTCATTAACAGACGTGAACCAAAATTTCTGCCAGCAGAAGAGATCTGAAATGTTGTTTCCGCATCTCTAGCCCCACCTAGAAAGGGAGAATCTAAAAGAGCAGAGATGATTTTGATTAACAAGCAGTATCAGGCTTAGGGTTTAAGACTCTGTCCCACCCAGCATCCTCCTGAAGTAGTGTCTTAGGTCGAGAATAGCTTTCTCCAGTGGCACTTTCTGCAATTGTAAAAATAGTCTCTCTCTGCCCTGTCCAGTATGGTGGCCAACAGGGCCATGTGGCTGTCAGGCCCTTCAAGTGTGGCCAGTGCAACTGAAGAAATGAATTTTTCGTTTAATTTTAATCAACTTAAATTTAAGTTTGCTACATGGAGCTCATGGCCACGGTGTTGGGCAGGGGTATACTCTCTGGTCTTTAGATGGAAGACACTGTCTGGACAACATGTCGGTTGAATATTTGTTGTATTTATGGTATGTTGATGGCACTTGTTAGAATGACTATGTGATGGATTTGGGGAGGAGGGTTTCACTGAGCTTACGGAATTGGTCATCTGGCTGCTTTCTGTGCCAGCTGACTAATAAACATCATTGTATATTTGGCTGAATTTAGTCTAAGACTTGCTTTCTCCATAACATACAACAGTAGAAAGATAGTGGGAGGCCACCAGTGGTTACCTGTGGGACCTAAAATTGCAACAGCCAATTAGACTGATCGGTTTGTGACATACATTTTTCTCCCAGAAATGTTTCCCAGCCCTTTGTCATCTGCGGTACTTTTGCTGTTAACAAACATTAGCAGAAGACAAAACAAAGGCTATATAAATATTAATACAAAAATCCAGATAAGCTAGTTGCCCTCCCCAACACTTTTTTTTTTAATGTGAGCTATGTCCGTGGTATTTTTTTAAAATCATACAAATAACACAAATTTCTTATGTACAAAATTATTCTTCATTTATATGGTTGAATTTACATTTCATTGTGTCACAAAGACACCTCAACATTCTACAAAAGAATCCTGACTGCCAAGCGTTCTACCACTTAGAAAACTACAGGTCAACGTGCTCCGTATATAATCTCCTTTCTATTTGGTTTCCCAAAGTGCCTGGCATCACCCTGGACCAAAACAGCCACTTTTGTGATACATGACACATTTTCCTGCCTTCTGAAACGAGACTATTTAATCATTTGTTTATCAGAAAAAGAGAAAACTGATGGTTTAAATGTTACTATTTTTTGTTTTTCTTACATTTGAAAATTTTCTTTCTGCATTTGTCATCATTCAAAAATTGCTCACAAGTTCTCAAAAAATTGGTGTTACTTATTAATTTAAGAACTGAGTATCATGGTAGCGAGATCACATTATTTATTAAACCTTCACAGAATTCAATTTGCATAAACTTTGGCTTCCTCATTATCTCTTTACCTGATGGTGGATAACGCGGGTTTAGAGTTGTCTTCAGAATGCTATAAATTCTGTCCTAAGGGGAAGAGCCTAAAGAAACCAGTTACTGGAGGCATTTGATCAATCAGCAAAACCTTATAGGGTTGCTTTCTGGGTTATTCTTCGGCCTCGACACAATTCATATTTATCCAAGAAGGCATCCTGGAATTCAGGATTTGCACTTTCAAAGATTCTTTGTAGGCATTCCCTCAGATCACAGCCCCTCTGCATTAATGGTTGTTTTACTGTTGACCAAGGGACAGACTGGAGGGAGGGGCGCCAGGGTGAGAAATCTATGTCCGTTCATGGGGCATATCTCTCCACACAGCTCAGCATAGAGGTTGGGGAGAGTATGGAAAGCAGTCCCTCCTTAGGTGCCTGTATAGAAAGAGACTACTTATGCGTGGGGGCTATAACTGCAAGAGTCATCTGCCAGGGGCAGGGGGAGAAGCAAAAAAGGGAACAGAAAGGGATTCAATACAGAAATACTGGAAGTCTCTTCTAGAGGCACTTGGGGACCTGTCATTCCTCCTCAACGTTACCACCTTAGTAGATTTTTTTCTCATTTCAGGGGCTCTCTCATTTAGCACCGTATAACCCACATTCTCCCAGATTGGGCTGGTGTTCCCACCCATCAGACTGTGTGTGTGGCGGTCCCGTGTGTGTGTGTGACTCAGCACACGTGTGGAACTTACGGACGAGGACAATGCTCACTCCCTGATAGGACAAGATGTTGCTTTCTGATTAGCCCTCAGATTGTGGTGGTGAGTGCTTCAGCCTCATTCAGCTTCTTGTCGACCCACATTAGGCTCTGAAGCAACACTGAAGACACGCCTATCAAAAGCAGTCTGCTCAGAGTGCATTGCCCTGATAACTTCATATATTAAAGTAAAATCGTCACCTTCTTCAGTTTGGTCATCGAAACTTTTGGTCTTAGCTGCAAGGAGGACTTAAATTATATAAGTGTCCGTCTTCTAGAATATTTCTGAGATGAAGCAATGCTCCCTGATTCTCAACTTTTCAATGGAGTGTAATAGCAGGTAGTACAGTTAATAAGTCCGACTGTTGTATGCCAAAGTGGTTCATGAAAATCTTTATGTTTTCTCTGTCCCTGGTAAAATTGAATGATGCCAAAACATTCTATTTTAATTCTTAAACGGAAAAAAATCTAATGCACGATGAAGCATAACCTATTAGGCACTTCTGCTTGCTCTTGATTTACTTGTTTACATGGACTGATGGAGGAATTGGTTGGATTTTTACAAGAGTGATTTAGAAAGCTTCTGAATCGTGTTTCCTAAACAGGGTTTGCAAGGCTTTTAATGCTTCAAAAGGCAAAGTTGGAACCAAACTGAGCTGTCTATCAGTGTTTTGTTGTTTTTTCTTTCCTTTTAAGCAGACTTGAAATTGTTCATGGAATCAGACTGACCTTAGATTGCTTACAGGAGCCGTGGCTGGTGCTTTCCAAAAAGCAGACACCATGATCTTCTGTTATATTGCTAATATCGACCCCCCCACCCCCACCCCCTCCAGTGCTGCCTTTATCTAGAGATGCAGAGGAATACTGGTAAAGCCCTCTTGGCTTCTCTCTTCTCAGGCTTGTTGATCGGTGCGGGCTGTGCCCTCTACCCCTTGGGCTGGGACAGTGAGGAAATCCGACAGACCTGTGGCTACATTTCCGGCCAGTTTGACCTGGGTAAGTTTTCTTCATTGATGGCACTCCTTTTAGAAAAGAACCTTATCTGACCTCTCATAGAAGCGGAGAGTAGAAGAGACATGAGGAAGAGAACCATACAGCCAGCAGTCACACGTAACAATACACAGACCTTCATTCATCTGTTTGTTTAGTGAAGTTATTGGCAATCTACCGTTTGCCTGGACTGGGGGAAGTATTGTGGAGACAAAGCTAAGAAATAGTCCCTGCTCTGAACAGTTTATATTCATTGATCAGTTCATTCAGAATCATGTGTTTATTACTTATTGTATGTGCGAACTCTCTGGAATTTACAGGCTGCCTGAGGAGATAAAGCCAACAACACCGTCCAGGGCTAAGAAATCCAAAGCGATTTCACTCCAGAGGCGTAGACAACTTTGTTGCAGGGCTGGGTCTTGAACACAGTGATGCATGCAGGTTGTCTGGGAGTAGACAGAAGCACCTAGCAAGCCAGGAATACAGCAAGCAAAAACACCAGGGAGGAATGAGAAAAGCCCATCAGGAGACCCCGTAGAGATGTGAGAAGCTGGGAGAGATGTGATTGAGTAGTCGGAAGTTCGCACACTGGTGACGGGCACCTCATGACTTTGGTTTTGTGCGTCCTGATCAGGAATTTTCACTTGTAGTTATAGTGTGTTCTATTTTTTTTTTTTTTAAGATTTTATTTATTTATTTGAGAGAGAGAGAATGAGAGACAGAGAGCATGAGAGGGAAGAGGGCAGAGGGAGAAGCAGACCCCCTGCTGAGCAGGGAGCCCGATGTGGGACTCGATCCCGGGACTCCAGGATCATGACCTGAGCCGAAGGCAGTCACTTAACCAACTGAGCCACCCAGGCGCCCTATAGTGTGTTCTATTTAGCAATCTATAAAAAAGGTTGTAGAGTACTACATGGTTTGCATCATTATAATCTGTACTAATTGGATTATATTTCGCTTGGTTGATGAACTTCCATTTCCTTAAACACGTCCTTATTTCTTTCTAGTTGGGTATTTCGTCTAGTCCAGTTTTCTGTGATTTTAAGGCATATTGTAATGAGAAATTTAACGAAAGGAAGTCTTTTCTTTATTGAATTACTTTCTGAGGACTTTTTTCTGGAATTGGTGTTACTACATCAAAGACAATTGCCAAGCAAGTATACTTTCCTCTGATATAAGGATAGACAGATTAAGTTTTTGACCTTCAGTGCAAAGTGAGTTGCTAACTTAAACATTCACTTTTCCCATTAAATACTTCACTCTAAGAAGAAATGTTCAAGGGAGTTGGTCTAATGTCAGTTGGTCTATCCCAAATCATCATTTAAAAATTCAACGTTAGAACTTCTGTGAAAAAAATTTGTCAGATCTTGAGAAAAATGGACAGATGTGATACCACATCACAGTTTTGTGAATTTGAAAATAAAGCAATTTCTGTTTGACTCTGGATGACAAACACCCTGCTTCCCTCAAAATAATACTAGTTCTTTTGGTGGAGAAGCCCATACAATTAACTACTACTAATTTGCATGGATAAAAATAAAAGAGATTTCTGACTGTGCTTCCCTCCTTATGAAGGCTTTCCCAAGTCTGGATGCGTTTGTGATTGCTGGAAACGCAGAGAAGGGAAAATGCCAGCACAATGTTGAGTGTCAGCTTGGTTTTGTTGTTGCTGTTGTTGTTTGTTTTGGGTTTGGGGGTTGTTTTTTGCCTTTTGGTTTTGGTGGGGTTTTTTCATTTTGTTTGTTTGTTTTTTGGGTTTTTTTGGAAAGCAAACTGTGTCCAGGGGAGATATTTTAACACAGTGTTTCGCATTTTTCTTTTTCTGGTGTTTGGGGCATTCTTGGCTGTTTCACACACGCCCCAACTTGATTAGAAAACTGTTCTTGCTGATCTTTTGCTATTGTGTGTGCTGTATTAATTAGCAGGTTATAATGAAACCCATATCCTGTTTTTGCAGTTTTCATTACTGCATCCCCAGTAGTTTATATCTTCTCAGCATTGTGGATTAAAAATTTGAATGTCAAACTTAAAAAAAAAAAAGAAAAAATTTGCCTCTTTACTGGTGGTAATAATTTCTTTTGTGATTAAACTCACCAAGACATTTTAACAATTTAAAAACTACAGTGTTTTAATTTTTGCCTGTTTCTTTTTAAATTTCTCTTAGTTGGATGATGAGGAAAAAATAAAACTGGCATTATTTATAGATAAAATGAGCTCTAGGTCCTGCAAAACCGTCCTACAAAACTGCTTCTGTTTTCTATCTTTAAAAAATTGTTACTGTTCCCCTGAATGCTGATGAAGGCTGAACTTCAACAAATGAGTGAAGTCACAGATTATGGTGCTAACTTGGGAGAGCCTAGGACTGGAGTTGGGAGCCACAGCATGTGTGTGAGGGGGAGCATTCTCAGGAAGGATGGGTCGGGGGCCCACGGTTTTAGTGGCCGCATGCTGGTTGCCACAGACACACCCTGCCTCTTCCACTTCTGAGAACCCAAGCCCATTGCTGCCACCTCTCAAAGGAGACAGTGAGCAGGCACATCTTCCTCCCGAGGGTTGGGAAATGTTAATGTCGTTAAGGTTCGTGTTTTCTTTATGGTGGGGCGTGGGCCACTTTCTTGGCGTCCCGTTACTGAAATGTTACTTTCTCTCTCTAAAGCATATCCTGAAAGAAACCATCGCTTTTGGTTTTGTATGGAAGATTTTTTTTTTTTTAATTTTTTTTTCTTAAGATTTTATTTATTTGCGAGAGAGACAATGAGAGACAGAGAACATGAGAGGGAGGAGGGTCAGAGGGAGAAGCAGACTCTCTGCCGAGCAGGGAGCCCGATGTGGGACTCGATCCCGGGACTCCAGGATCATGACCTGAGCCGAAGGCAGTCGCTTAACCAACTGAGCCACCCAGGCGCCCCCTATGGAAGATTATTTAAGGAGTGCATTCATTCAATTATCCAGCCAACAAGTATTTATGAGGTGCTTACGGTGCACCAGGCCCTGGGCTAGGTGCTGGGGATGTGCCATCAGCAAGGCATTTTAAAAGACCCTGTTCACTGCCCTCAGGGAACTGAAAAAACCAGCAGGACAGGCAGATGTTCAAGAAGATCATATCCCTGGGATGTGTGTTAGAAAGGAAGGGTGTCGGGCACGGCAATGGACCTCATGGTTGCCTTACAATATTATTCCATGCTGGTTGGTGATTCTAGGCCAGAGGCTGAGAAACCGTCTCTGTAAAGAGCCAGCTAGTGACCGTTTTCCGCTTTGGGAGCCATATGGTCTCTGTTGCAACGATTCAGCTCTGCAGTTGCAGCAGGAAAGACGCTCCATGTATAAATGGGTGTGACTGTCTTCCCATAACATTTTGTTTACAAAAACAGGTGGTGGCGCTCTCGTCTGAGGACCCCTGATTTCAACCAGCGCATACCCCTGACACTCCAGAAAGAGGTTCATTTCAGATAATGCTCCTTTATGGATCCCTTCAGCCGCCGGGCCGGCTGGTCAGGGCCCAGGGCAGAGGCTGCGCAGGGCAGCCCCATCCAGTTATCCTAGTATGCTGCACACATACTCTACTTTTCTTGTTGTGCCGGGTTGTAAATAGGTGGCAAGCACTCTAAATTAATCTTGGTCATCTTACCTCTTAACACGAGTTTGGGATGGGAAGGCTGAAGCCCATTTGGACCAGGGATTACGGCAGGAGATGTGTCCAGAGGCCTTTGGGGAAAAGGGGGTCACATGCCTAAGGGAAAGGCCCCCAGAAGCCATGCTCCCCCTCCCTCTGGCAGCCGGGTAGAAAGGCAGGAAGAAGCAGCCTCGGGGGGCTCTGAGGTAGGCAGAGGAACCAGCTGAGGCTCAGCCATCCCGGAAGCAGGCCTTCCCTAGGAATTTTCAACCTTGCTGATACATAGTAATTCATTTCCTTACTGGGTAATGTTAAAGGCATCTCTTCTCTTCCTGGCTGCTGAAGGCAGCCTGACAGCTATTTTATTTAGTTGCTATATCGCAGTTCAAGCGGACTTGACCTCCCCTGGGGGCATCCTAAGGAAGTATTATTTTTAGCTGAGCCTTCATTCAAGGCTGTGAAGGGTTTATGTAGGTAAAGGGTGAGTGTGGGTGTGTTTTAGGTTGCAGGGTAGGCAGGGAGTAGAGCCAAGAGAGAGCCCAAGGAGGCACACTGGAGGAGGTAGGAATGGGGGGTGGGGATGGGGGTGGGTAGGAAGGGCCTCCCAGGTTAAGAGTATTTAAACTGAGTCCAAACACATAAGTAGTAGTTAGGCAAGAAACAGATTTTATAGAAACTCACGTTTGTGGTTTTAACGTACTGTGGTAGAAGTCTAGTAGAATCTAGTTTTTAAAATGCCTTTTTTCCTTAACCTCCTTAACCTTTCCTTAACCTCCAATAATTTGCAGGTTATAGTCAGTGGGGAAAAAATGGGAACAAAAATAGAAAATTTGTCCAAGTTGCTAGAAGTCATTTGGAAGATCCAGGAGGAGCCTGTATTCCCTCATGTAGCATGCTAGTGCAGGAGGACGACAGGAAAACGGAGAGGTTGCTGTGAGCTAAACCAAGCCCCAAACTGGGTAGACCAATGGGGACTCACGGGAATACTCTGAGATGTGGTTCCAGATGATCCTGGGAAAGTTCCACAGGCAGAAGGAGCTCCATGTAGCCAGTAATGAAGTGATGGAGCAGGGTCCAGGCACCTCCAAAGGAAAAGCAAGGAGATTTAGGGAGAATTTTTTATGTGCCTTGAAAACAATTTTATAAGGCTATTGATTATTTCTCAAGCATTTTAATATGTTATGAAGTGCGAAGCTTTGCAGCAATTTCGCAAAAATACCCGGTTTTACAAATCAAAGATTGTTACTGTTTACCTTTGGATCATTCTTATTTATGAAGAAGCCAGGAGCATGTTTGAATACACATATTTTTAAAACAGGGAAACAAGAGTACAAACAGGCTGCATAATGACTTCCTAAATTACCCAACTAAAATTGTACAGCTTGCCTTGACA